AACACAGGAGATTAACACCATTCTCCAGGGATACCCAAGGCTCCCTCTCCCCATCTGCCCAACCTCAAGTGAGAGATTACTCAGAGAGGGAAATAAAACATCACCTGTGTAATTAGCGCAGGTACTTAGGCTCTGTGTAGACGTGGGAGGCACAACTCTCCCTAGAACATACGAGTCCAGGGCTGTTTATTAAGCCCTGGCCGGAGGCTCCACCCTGTGCTGAGTGATGCGGGGTTTTTCTGAAGCATAAGACAGGACCAGACACGTGGACGAACCACCCAGGGACCCCAGCTAATGCCTGGTGGCCCTGGTGAGTCCACTCAGAGGGCGATTCAAGCGAAGATGTAGACCTGAATGACTTTAAACTCATGGGCTTTCAAGACACACAGGTATGGATCTGAGTCTCAACCCTGCCATCAACTAGGTGGTGACTCTGGACAAGTTCCTTACCTGAGCTGCCTCAAGTGAGAAATAGGTGTAATAATAGCACCTCACAGGATCATGGGGAAAAATAAATTGGGCAGTGTATACAGAGTGCTTTCAACAGAACCTCAGACACAGTCAGAACTCAGCAAGTCGCCCCCGTATAGTGAGTTTCTCCTACTATGGCACAGAAGAAACTTGGGGTTCTCACTGGCCAGAAAGATGCTCAGGTCGTCCACAGCACCCAGGGCAGTGGAGGCTGCTCGGGTGGGAGATGCAAAGAGGCCACATCGGTCCCTACCCCCTCCCCGCCCCCCGCAGCCCCCCGGGTGCAAATCTCCCTCTGTGCAGGGCTCCGCTCCAAGGAGTCCAGCTGGGTGCATCTGGCTGGGGAGATTAAATTATTTTTGAATTCCTAACCGAATGTTCTTTTAATGGAAACTTAATGACAGGCATTGAAATAGATTTCCTCCATAGCCCCTCCTGCCGCGGCGCCCCCCCGCGCGGCCCTGGGCGGCGCGCGGCTCCCGATAACCTTTCTTCCCTACGCCTGGACTTTTATCTCCCCCGCGACAAACAGCCCTTGCTGGACAGAAAGAGGAAATTCCAGTCATTGTTCTCAAACTTCTGGCTTCCAAAATAAAATGTTCTATCTCCCCTGTCAAGCTTTGATTGACACACACTTCCTGTACCGGGACAACGGCCCAGGGGCGGGGCCAGGGCCTCATTTGCATTCTGTGCCTCCGAGGTTTTCACATCTTTGGTTCCGGGCCAGGCGGGAGCCCCCAGGCTACTCACAGAGCCTCCCTGATGAAGCCCCGTCTCCCGCTGGATGAAAACTCCCCAGGAAGGCACCTCCTCAGCTGCTGCCACAACCCTCCCGGGAAGTTCTTTGCTGTCCGTGGAGAGAGACGGCCGTGCTAAGCGTCTCACTTCTTAGATTTGGCAGCTTCAGAGCTTTTCCTTCCACCCTTTCCCTCTTGAGGAATGAATTTTTAGACAGTCTCCCACATCTTAACTCTAAGTCCTGGAAGGTTAAAACAAGGTGCAGACTCTCCAAGTCAAAACCCCCAGAGCTACAGAGCCAAACAGGCAATTCATGGGGAGTTGGTACCGAGGGAAACTCTGAACAGGGTGAAGCACCATGGGATATGGTTTTCCTTGGAAGGGGTAGGAAGTGTTCAGTTGCTTTTAAAATAACTGAATGGTAGAGGATAACACAGCACACCTGTAGCAAGAGCAGTCCTGACGTGGTCAAGTTTATTCCCCAAGTTGTAATGAAAAGCCTGCCTTGAGCGTTGGCCCCAAATGATACGAAGTTGGCCTTCTGGAAACTTCTGTTTCCCTTTTATTTTATTTACTCACTGAGTTCCTTGTGGGTACCCTCTCCCTCCAAATGTCTGGGGTTCTTATGATGCTTTGGGGTGCCAGCCATTCCTCAGGACTGTGGGATGGCACCTGCAGGGCCTCATTTCCTCAGGGCTTTGTTGGCTGTTAGCATGTTAACAGTTGCTAGAGAGATTCAATGAGAATCTGTACTAAAAATTAGACTTCAAGTGGCAGACTGCCTTCATCCTAATAAAGAAATGTTTGGAAGCCAGCAGTTTTCCCTCAATAACCCAGAAAGAAATGCCATTCACAAAGATTCCAGTTGCTCTGCTCTCTTAATAATCAAGAGGAATGGATTACCTGTGATAATTCCGCTGACCATGCCAGCCATCCCTGAGCCTTCTGCTAAGGATCAGAACAGACCAGACAGTAGTGTTCTGACCCTTCAGTTTAATAAAGCGACTACAGAGTCATAAACCCTCAGGACAGTGGGCCAGCAGAGAACTCTAGCTCCCTCCGGCTTGTTGACACCTGATTTCCTTTAGCTTTGTCAGTAGGTTAAATGGCGATGCCAACACACTTACAGGCACAGAGTAATCTCCCATGTGGGCCAGTGTGTCCACAGTCACGACCGCTGACAAAGCGTGCAACTCCGAACCCGTAAGACTCCTCACTCGTCTTTGTCAGAAGGACCAGGTGTGTTTGTGGATCTGTATACACTCAACCCCAGGCCTGGGAAAACGAAGCCATTGGTATCCACAACTGCAGCCGTGGCCACTTTATGTGCCAAGACTCACACCGGAGTGTTTTGACAGAGCTGCGTGGGAAGGGGCCTGCGGACAGTGGAGCCAAGATGACGTGTGCACTCTGTTTGCTGTCTTCCCACCCCTCCCGCCTCTCCCAAGAGGAAGTCCACCCTCCGCAAGAGGATTTTCACCAGTTGATCTGTCACAGTTAATGCACAATGACTGACACCTTGGGCAAGGACGTGGACAGTTTCAGAGATTTAATGTATTAATCAACACACTGAAATATTCTGATTCCTAAGCAGCTTTCAGTACCATCCTCTCCAGAATACATTCGAAACAGCGTAGGTTGGGAACAGAACAAGAGTTCGCAGTAAAACCTTCCCCGCCAATCAGTCCTTACATGGCGTTGGTCTCTGCGTGGAGGACGTGGTGTTGGGCCTCGGAGAAAGGAAGGCCCGGCACTTTCCCCACTGTGGGCTCACATCCCACTCCCCTCCCGTCGCGCTCCTCCAAACCCTCCGCCAAAAAACACAAGGTACATTTTCTCAGAGGCATTAGCAGTCCTTTCCCTTCTAAACTGACTTTGCACCTTCAAGCTCTTCATTGCCTTCTTGGAAGATCAGGAAATACTCTTTTAACAGGTGTGTAGCCCCTGACCCCATCTAACACAAATTGCAAGAGACGTTACCCCCATTTTCAGATTGAGCATTGTTTTTCACAGGAAGACGCTCATTGAAGTTCTAGCGTGGTGGTTCAGCCTCTGTTGAAATATGTCACGTGAGATCAGCTGGGCTGAAACCCAGCTTGGCTGCAGAGTCCGGATATGCCGCAGAGCAGGCTGGGCTCCGCACTGCTCACCACGTTGGGTAGGTAGAGGTAGACTCGTGGAGTCCACGGACCGAGCCTTTCCCTGCTCCTCTGGAAACCCAGCGTGACCCAGGCCAAGGCGGAAGCTCCAACAACCAGGATGAAGACGGTCAGAGCCTCACCAGTGTCCCCGTGTAGCAGTGTTTCTTCTTGTCTTTGACTGGTTCATCTCCCCCAACTTGGGAGACAATCCTTCGGTTGAAAAAACAAAAAACCCCGATGTTAAAATAAAAGTGGCTTCTTTCTTTTCAGTAGAACCAAAGTGAGAATATAGTTTTCCCCTGATCCTACCTAAAGCTCATAACTCCTTCAGGGAGATCTTTAAAAAGATCTCCTTTGGTCTGTCCATAGGCTTTGGATGATTTTGTCTGTTCCCATCAACACTGCATGATTTCAAATAAGCCTATTCAGGACGCTGTATGAGCTTCTGTGGCTTCCAGATTCCAGATTCCTATAAGTCCACTCCATGGTCTAATGCAGTTGCCTTGTAGAGCTGCGCGTCTCGTAGCATCCTGGTTGCAGGCTTCAGGGGCATTGTGCTGGGAGATTTTAAAGGCTCTGGTCATACTTTCATAACCCCAAATTGCTGGCTGTTTCATATTGCTTCTAGTCACTAGGTCCCTTCACGATGTTGCTTTCCTTGTGTGGAAAAGCCACTGTTACATTTTGGTGTCATCTACTTCGTTGACTTCTGACAAGATGAAGTTGGGGTTGTCATAGCCTCTCTTCATCCTGGCTCTAGCATCCTTCTCATTGTAAAGGCACATGGCACAGTGGGGAGTTTCCACTTCCACCGTCTTGCTGAAGTTATGGAAATCCACGCGGTATTTCCCTTCCTTGGTCTTGGATACTATGGGGGCAAAACGGTAGCCCCAGAGGACCTCTTCTGGGACATAGGATGTCCGGACTTGGCAGGTAGCACTGGTTGACTCCACTGTGCCGTCTAAAAACACCACTAGTTCAAAGTCCTGCTGGGGCAGGGTTTCCGCGGCCATGTGGAAGAAGGGGCTGCTGTGGTCAATGACGTGGTAAATCGTCAGGGGGGAGATGAAGAATAAATTTTCATTTCCTGCATCGACCACAAAGTTGATATTGATCTGGTCCAAGATAATGGTCTCTCCTTCGGGGGTGACTGTGGTCTTCAGAAGCTTTCCGTAAATGTGGCTGCTAATTAGGAGGCTCTTCCGAAGATTAGCCACTCGGATCAGGAGGCAAAGCTTCCCACCCCGCTTGCTGATCACCGCATTCTTGCTGAAAGTAATGGTCTTGGCACGTTTCTTGGGTCTGGAGATCTTGGCTAAAATGGCGCCGCACATGAAGGAATTGATGATGACTCCGAGAATAGACTGGACGATCAGCAGAAAGATGGCGGTGGCGCACTGTTCTGTCACACAGCGGAATCCATATCCGATGGTGACTTGCGTTTCCAGAGAAAAGAGAAAAGCTGAGGTCAAGCCATTAATGTGCTCCACGCAAGGGGTGTGGTTGACAGAAGGATGAAACTCAGGGAGGTCTTTGTGAAGGTAGGCGACTGCATACCACAGGAGACCGAAGAAGAACCAGCTCCCCAAGAAGGCGGTGATGAAGATGGTCATTTTGTATCTCCACTTGAGGTCAAGCACAGTTGTCCAGATGTCCACAAAAAATATAAGCCTGGACTGCACCTCCACATTGCCGAACTCGATGTTGCACCTTCCATCTTTGGAGACCAGCCTTGCTCTTTGCCGGGAATGCCCCAGAAAGCGAGTGACAAACCATTTCCTCAGATGTTTGAGCATTCTTTCTGTCAACAACCTGGTCTGAAAATACATCGGAGAAAAACAAAACAGAACAAAACGATGTTTATAGCGCTAGTGAACTAGGTGACTCATATGAAGAGTGAACTGTGCAGGAAAAGACCAGTCAGCACAGTCTGGGCTACTGATCACCTGGGCAAGCCGGCAGGTCGATTCTGGATTACACAACAGTATTTCCTTTTTTTTCTATAATTCTTATGTTTTGTTGAAGTGTAGTTGATTTACAATGTTGGTTTCAGGTGTACAGCAAAGTGATTCAGTTACACATACACACACGTATTTTTTTTCAGTTCCTTTTCCATTGCAGCTCATTACAAGAAATTGAATACAGTTCCCTGTGCTGTACAGTAGGTCCTTGTTGTTTATCTGCTTTATATCTAGTGATGTATATCTGTTAATTCCAAATCCAAATCTACCGCCGCCCCCACCACTCCCCCCCGGTAATCACAGTTTGTTTTCTTTTTTAATTTTTTAAAATTAAAAAAAGTTTAGTTGAAATATGATCAGTTTACAATGTTGTATCAATTTCTTATGTACAGCATTATGTTTCAATCATACATATATATACACACATTCCTTTTCATATTCTTTTTCATTATAGGTTACTGCAAGATATTCAATATAGTTCCCTGTGCTGTATAGTAGGACCTTGTTGTTTATCTATTTTATATATAGTAGTTAGTATCTGGATGCCTCAAACTCCCAATTTATCACTTCCCCCTCCTCCCCCATCCCGGGTAACCATAAGTTTATTTTCTAGGTCTATGTGTTTCTGTTTCGTGAATAAGTTCATTTGCACAATACTATTTTCAACAGAAACTTTATACTACAAGATCATATTGCTTAAATCTACAGAGGAAAAATAATCACAGAGAGATAGAAATGGAAGGAACCTGAGAAAGCATATATTCAAGTGTTTCCTGGCCTTAGTTAGTCACACATAGCCTTAAAAATGTTTATGATAACACAGACCCAGAAAACAAATTTATGGTTACCAAAGGGGAAGGAGGACAGGGAAAGACAAATTAGGAGTTTGGGATTAGCAGATACAAACTACTATATATAAAATAGATAAACAACAAGGTCCTACAGTACAGCACAGGGAAATATATTCAATAAATTATAATAACCTATAATGAAAAAGAATATTTAAAAGTGTGTGTGTGTATATATATATATATATATATATATATATATATATAATATCTGAATCACTATATATACCTGAAACACAATATTGTAAATCAACCATATTTCAATTTCAATTTATAAAAGAAAGAATATCATTTGATAGTTAAAAAATATTTCTGATAAGAAATTATGACCTGTACTATGATTTATTTGATATCATTATTTAAATCAACTCTCCCTTTTTTTAAATAAATTCAGCCTTGAGCTAAGGAAAAATATCTGTGAAAGCAGAAGTTGGATGCACTATTTACATGTTTATTAATGTAGAGAAATAACTAACTATGAAAAAAAGGCTAATCAATATGCGACCTAAGTCATCGTGTGCTCTGCTACTGGTACACACATGTCAAGAGAAATTATAATCCAGTTCTATTCTCTCATCTAACATATGAAGCAACTGAGAACATTTTAATGACAGACCCAAGGTCGTGTTTCTAACCAGTGGCAGGATGACAACTAAAGCATAACGTTTGTCGTTCAGAGGAGCCCCACCACACTTCCATCTCAGTTATTACATTTTATATTCTAAAATGAGAGTTCTCTGAAATATTTTAAGACAAGCTGGTGAATTTTCTTTTTTCTTTTTTATTTTGATGCTCGACACTGTTCAGCACAGAGTTCCTCAAGACTGTTAGATCAAGTCCTACTATAAGACCTCAAAAGTTTTCTCGGTGGACCTACAAGCCTGTTCCTACTCTGTCTCCTTGGTATGCCACGATCCCCGGAAGGAACAGTGTGAGGGTCACCATCAGCATCTCACACCTGCCTCCCTGCCCCAGGCGGAAGGGCTGGGGGGTTCTGATGTAAACAACTGCACAGAAAGGGAGAACCGCGTTTTATTCATTCCTCTATGCCAGCTGCTAACATGAACCACGGGCACGTCCTGTTTATTCGATAAACATAAACGGAATAAGAGAGTGAGTGAATTAAGCCCTTCAAACCAGTATCTGACCCGTGGCCTTATTGATAACATTCTGGCTTCCATTTTACAGCACAAAACTGAAGGGCTTTCCCCCTCAACAGCCAACAACGCTGAACCCCGCGGTCATGGTCGTAAACACTAGCCTGCCTCCTCCCCTAGGTGTGCCCACCCCACTCCCAAGGTGTGCCTGTAGTGGTTAGCAATGTCTTCGTGGTATTTTGAATCAAATGCAAACATGTTTCTAAATTCGATTTCAAAATCCCCCTTCAAAAATGTGTTTATTCGTACAAACTAGGAAGCGAAACCAACTTAGTGACAAATTTTAAACAAAGGTGATATTCTGCAGTGTCTGGCCCATGGCCTTAAACCAAGTGCAAACACAGAAAGCCGGCCCCAGGTAGGAGTGGCGGAGAGAGAGCCACAGCTACAGGGGTTGGAAATTTTAAGGGCAGGTTCTAAAGATGTAGAGAAAGAAACTGTTGGTGGGAGATTAAAGAGCGATGTAGCACTCAGCGGGCCCTGCCCTCACCCCGCCCGCCCTCATCAACCTCAAGACCCCAGAGAGCACTGGGGGATATGGTCCAAGTGACGCTCACC